GAACTGAGATTTATATCAACATACACAAACACATGCATATATATATATATATATATATGTATGTATATATATATATATATATATATAAAATCAGGTGAGTCCATTTAATGGTGTGTGTATGTTTATTTGTTTAGGGCTGACCACTTGGATTTATTGTCCCTGGAGAAAACGGGTTATCGTTCCCTCAGTAGCCATTACTTGCCTGTAAGAGGCTATGTTTTTAATACTGCTGAAACCTACGGAGTTTGGGGGAATTAGCAGTGGGGTTGGTTGGGTTCTCAGCTCTTTATATGATAAATTGCCGGTTGATGTGGGTGAGAATATACCCATCATCACATCACAGACCCAGGTATTTTCTTTCCAGACATAGGACTAACCCACACTAGGTAAATATAATACATCACCCATTCATATTTACGGGGGGAAAGATAGCAAAATAGTGAGATGGTATGAGATCATCATTGAACTGCTTGATATATGTCATCTGGTCATATTTGTGCATGTTTTTAAATTTTCTTTTAGTGGTTCTAGGAACTGAACTCAGGCCTTCCTTCACGCTCAGTGTCCACTTCCTTCACCCAGTCTGCTAGGCATTTTCAATATGGACATTTGGAGCACCACTCAAACTACCTCTGCTAAAGGGTTCAAGTTTTTGTTTTGGCAGGGTCGGGGGGGTCTGGCAAAAATGCTCAGGCAGTGGTAATTTTAAGGAATTCACTATAAAATATTATATATAAATGTATTGATAAAGTTAAAATTATTTAGATGAACGCTTCATAATTACTTTTGAAAATCCAGCCTGGAGTGCAGAGTGAGATGTGGACGGGCAGGCTGAAAGATCACAGACGTGTCCTAATCTGTGCATATATTCATTTCTGCACTCTTAAAACAAAGCCAAGAACTCCCTCCAGATCCACATCTCTGTATTGTGCAGTGTCACAGGCATCCCCAAAACTTTTCACTGGCCGGGGTGTTTATTGTCCAGTCGTTAGGAAAACGGAGATGCAGCCCATTTCTTTGGAGCACTTGGAGTCTGTAAGGCACTGCCCGCTGGTTCTGCTCTCTGTAGCTCCTCCCTCAAGACACACAGAGCATTAGCTCTGGCATCACAGCACCTCCCCAGCTCAGGCAGCTATTATGTGAGCCTCACTAAATACAGAAGTTGTTTGTTCTGAATGGCAGAAATAAGTATTGACCAGTTTATTTCCCAAATGCTTTGGATTCTCAGTGGGGATGTAATGTGTTCTCTCCGCATTCCACAGCCTGGCTCTTCTCCCCAACAAAGCAAGTATTATGCACACTTCTATCATAGTGCCATACGCTTAACTGCATGGAAATACAAATTTGGCTGTGCTCTCTGGTTTTTCCTTTCTTAGCGCTATCAGCAGTGATGTGTCCTGGCCATTGGTAAGCACCCAGAAGTCAAGGCAAATGGCTTTCTGTAGTGGCTCTCTGTGCTTAGAGTAATGTTTTCCTTGCTGGCTATTTAAAACTGCATATTTTAGATTCTCCTTTCTGAGTTACCCATCCCCTTTACCACCAAACCCTCAAGAATCTGAAAGTCCATACTGCCTTTTGAGTTCTGGTCAGTTTTTCCAGTGAGTCAAAACCAAACTAAAAGCCTCGCATTGTGGAATGTGGCAGTAGGGAGCAGTGCCCCACGTCCCTTTCCTGTTTGGCCTTGCCCTTTCTGGTCTCCTTTAGAGGAGTCTTTTGTAGAGCTCAGATGAGATGTCTGCTTGACAGCCTTAAATGCTGGACACGGGTTTCATGCTGGGGATGGGCCTGCCTTCAGGACTGCAGGAAACCTGGAGGAGGCCCACAAAACTCCTTTTGTCCCTTTTTCACTCTTCCCTTAGAAGCTCAAAGATGCGATACTCTCTAGGTCATCAGCAGGAGAATTTACTCTGACTTTGGTTCATGCCATTTGAGCTCTGCAGTTGATTCTCAGTATGGTAAAGCATTCAGGGTTGTATATTTGCTGTCGTGTATCTATGCAGTACACCCGATCTCTGTACCCTGATCATTTAGGCTCTCATCTAGAACTCAGAAGGGATTCTTATCCTTTTAGGTGGGGAAGAATGGAAACTTGTTTTTCAAACTTTTATCAGAAGTACCCAATTAGGGTATCATGTATTTTCTGCCTCTGTTCCTTCCTGTGCAGCCATCTTGTAAAGGAGTCCTTCATCTCCTCTGAGCACAGACCCCAGTTCTCAAGATTAACAGTAAAAGAGCAGTCCTTAGCTGAGGGCATAAAACCAGGACTCACAGCTCCAGCTCTCCAAGTATCTAGAATGTAACCTGGCATGCACAGACTATAACCCCAGCACTCAGGAGGCAGGCAGAGGAAGATCATAATTTCAAGGCCACCCTGGGCTACATAGTGAGATGCTGGCCCATAAAAACAAAGGAGTGGGAAAGGCATTGGGGTGTGGCTCAGTAGTAAAGCACTTGCCTAGCAGTCTTATAAAGGTTCCAAGCTCAGCACTGTGCCCCCACCAAAATAACAACAATCTAGGACATTTTCCAGTAGAATTATCAGTGGTGGTAGGCATGGTCTATATTCATGTAATTCATTGTAACAGCTACTGATGGCCAGTGAGGACTTTAAATGTGGCTAGTTCAGCTGAGAAACTGACCTGGTCACTTCATTTAAATTTAAATAGTGCCTGTATTAAACACAGATCAGACGCACAGCGCTTACCTGCCAAAGGAGGCCAGTGTAGGCAGACAAACATTGTCCTTGATGCTCTTTTAACAGGGCAGTGCCCAAGTTCATGAAAAGGATCAAGGTTCCAGACTACAAGGACCGGAGTGTGTTTGGGGTCCCGCTGACTGTCAACGTGCAGCGATCAGGACAGCCCTTGCCTCAGAGCATCCAGCAGGCCATGCGTTACCTTCGCAACCACTGTCTGGACCAGGTAGGCACCGCAGCCTGTGGGTCCCAGGGTGGGAGCTCAGTTTCACTCCGTGCTGCCTTTTCTAGTTTTATAGGGAAGATATTGCTACCATTCTGATACCTGGTTTTCCTTCTTCCAAAAGGTTGGGCTCTTCAGAAAATCTGGTGTCAAATCCCGGATTCAGGCTCTGCGCCAGATGAATGAAAGTGCCATGGACTGTGTCAACTATGAAGGACAGTCTGCTTATGATGTGGCAGACATGTTGAAGCAGTATTTTAGAGATCTTCCTGAGCCGCTCATGACAAACAAACTCTCGGAAACCTTTCTACAGATCTACCAATGTAAGCATTCACGAATCTTATTAAGACTGTTGACACTAGGGAAAGTGGGGCCAACTGAAGCATGTAGCTCCTTTTGATGTCAGTCCTTTGACAAGAGCACAGCGTGGTGACCTTCTGGAAACAGGTCATAGGTTTCTTTCTTGCCTTGAGTGGGGAACAGGTTTATGCATACTTACTGAATAATTTTTAAAAGACATTTCTTGGGCTGGCTCGATGGCTCAGTGCTTAAGAGCACTGGTTGCTCTTGTAGAGGACCCAGGTTAGAATCACAGCACCTACATTGCAGGTAACAACCATCCCTAACTCCATTTCCAGGGGATCCGACACCCTTTTCTGACCTCCGTGGGCATTGTATGACACAGGTGCACTTATGTATATACAGGCAATACACTAATACACATAAAATAAAAAATAATAAATAAATTTTTTTAATTTAAAAAAAATCTTGGGCTGGGGTTTCATAAAATGCTTCCTTAGCATGTGCAAAGTTCTGGGTTTGATTTCCAATACTGCATAAACCAGGACACAGTGGTTACATAAGACCCGTCTTAAAATGAAAGAAAGAAAAGAGGAAGGGAGGGAGGGAAGGAAGGAGGGAGGAATGGAGAAAAAAGAAAATACATTTCCTTATCAGTCAGTCTATAAGTGCTGAAGCAATTGGAATTTTTTGTTTTGTTTTGTTTTTGTTTGTTATTTGTTTCTTTGAGTCAGGGTCTCCCCGTAGCCCCAGCTGGCCTGGAACTCACTATGTAGACCAGGCTGGCCTCCAGTTCACAGATACCAGACTGCCTCTGCTTCCCAAGGATTAAAGGTATGCGCCACCACCCCTGGCTCAGTTGTATATTTTCACAGTTAGACCCAAGGCTTTCTTTGGTTTGTCCAGAGCACTGTAGTGCAGGATGCTGGAACTAAGGTGTCTCTCCCTCTGTGCCTGCCTCTTTCCCTCCACCACCTTTTCTGTAGACATATTATTTGCTTTGAATCCCTCTAGCAGAGCTGTTCTATCTAAAATTTTGCAGGTGTCTGTGTTTTAGCTCACTGAAAAGTGAATAAATAATCTTTTTTTCTGTTATTCATCACAGCCCCTGCAAGAAATATTTGAGAAAACAATACCCATGTCCTTCTCACTTTTAACCAGGGCTTAAAGAAAACAGTTGTTGAAATAAATGATCACGATCAGGATTATAGCTCTCACAGCCTTGTATTTTCCTTGGCTCAAGATGGAATTAGAGCAGTGTGCATTAAAAGCAGCTCCTCTTGGTGCTGAAATTGTCTTTAGGACTGACGTATTGAACTTCATTTTATGAGAAATGGAGCTGGTCTGGATTATTTCATTATTTGATTTATCCTTTCGTATTTTATGAAAACACAGGTCATATTTTCCTCCAGCAAGGTATTTGTTATGTATTGTAACCATGGAGCTGTTTAATCAGTTTGTCTTATGGCTCTGCATTTAAGTGACTTGATTTTTCCACCACATGCTTTTAAAAAAATTAACTTTGCTAGTGAAGGAGACCTGAAGGCTGGGTGCAGACTTTTCCTACAGAGCAGATTATTGTATGTGCACTTTTATACCTTTACCTCTTGCCATGCTTTCTAAAGCCTAAGAAATGATTGTTTATCTGTCATTTAACCTAATATTTTAACAACTTTTCTTATTTCAAGAATGAGCAAATTGGTCAAAACTGTGTGCCCAAAGATACTGGACCCTTTATAGTCAAAGCTAAGAGATCTCTGTTCTTATCTTCGTGCACGAGTCTCACATAAGACTTTTCATTGAAATTACATGGAATTTTACATGTAGAATGACTTTAGTAATTAAGATCGTAAATTAGAAGAAACGTGTTCTGTATGCTAAAAGAACACAGCACCTGGAGCCCAACTTTGAGGTTGATTTAGCGTGTGTTGATATTATGGGTGTTTTAACATTTTTTAACTCGTCCACCGAGTAGGAAATACTTGAGGGTAGTGACGCTGGTGGCAGCCCATAATTTCTTCCTTAGTAATCTCTAGTATGCTTTCTACAAGTGCTTGTTCAGTGTCTGATGCTGCTGTTTGCTTTGGGATGTGTGCTTGCCCTGGATGTGGAAAATTACTGAGCTGATGGGGGCAATGCTTATTCCCTGCAGATGTGCCCAAGGACCAGCGCCTTCAAGCTATCAAGGCAGCCATTATGCTTCTGCCTGACGAGAACCGGGAGGTTCTCCAGACGCTTCTCTACTTCTTGAGCGATGTCACAGCAGCTGTAAAAGAGAACCAGATGACACCCACCAACCTGGCTGTGTGCTTAGCTCCTTCTCTTTTCCATCTCAACACCCTGAAGAGAGAGAATTCGTCTCCCAGGTACAGGTCAGATGTGAGGTGCATGCACAGATCCTTTCTTCAGACTAGGGCAGCCCACCTTTCCTTCTAGGGCTGCAACCCTGTGTTCCTTTGGGATTCTTACCTGTCATCATGACAGAATATCAGGCCAAAACCAGTTAAGGGAATAAAGGTTTACTTGCTCATAGTTTTACAAGGCTCAGCCTTCTAAAGACACAGCTTGACCCTGTGTCTTAGGCAAGACATCTTAGCAGCAAGAGTGTGGTAGAGGACCTTATTCACTTCATAGTAGCCTGGTAACAGAGAGGGACAGAGACAAGCTACCCCAAGGACCTACCCCCAGAGACACACTTCTTCCCCAAGTTCCAACTCCTAATTTTTCTGAAACCTCCCACAGCAGGCCTCATCCAGGGACAGTTCACACGGTTGCCCTGTGCATCTGTCTCCTTTCCTCACAGTCCTTTCTAAAAGCAACCTTGTAACAAACAGGATCTGAATCTGAGAGAGTGCTTTTCTGGTCTGTGCCTTCATCTGGCCAGTGTTTAAGGCAATTCAAACAGTGTAGTTTCCATTCTCACAGCAAAGAGTCCTGCAGATCTACTGGCCAAAAAATTGATCCCCACTGCCTTTTTCTCCATGGGATCAGGAAAGCCAAATTGCTGACCTATGCCCAAAGCTAAAATAGCCGTGCTACAAAAAGCAAAGGTTATTTATTACTCAGCCTGAGACTTGCTCCTACTTAGGATGCAGCCTAAGCCAAACTTTCTGCCTAGAATATATGTGCAGACAGATGATAGGGGGCCGTGAGGAAAGTAGAGGAGTCTGATGCCCACCGAGGCTGATACTGCTGGGTACTCACTCTATGCTGGGCACAGGGCTCTTTGCTTCCCATTAATTCACCTCCTAACAGTCACCGGCAGTGAACATACTACCAGGTGTCTGTTTTTCACATGGGGAGAGTGAAGGTAGGATTAGGTTAATTCTGTAAGGAAGAAAGAGCAGAGCCAGTTTACATTTCTTATATGAGTATTTAAGACTGTTAGAGCACATGAAGAGGTGACTCACTGGACTCCACACCATCCTGTGTGTCCAGCTGATTCTTTTCCTTAGCTCTACAGGAACCTGAAAAGTATTTATCAGTTCCATTTCAGCACATTGAAGCCCGTTTTGCTCCTGGAAGTCATATAATACTTAAATAGCCTTTGAACTAGGATTGAAAGTTGTTGGAACATTCCAACTTTAATGGGATCGAGAACTACAGGAGATGAGCAGAGAGCAGATAAGATTAAGAACAAACCTGCAGGAAACAATAGGTCTATCCCTCACCTCTGTGAAGAATTTTGTTTATTTAACCAGTCAGGACAGTGATACCGTCTACCCCACACCAGGCAGTGCTCACCTCACTCCCTTTAGAAGCGGCTTCAGTCCCCAGCACAGGCACAGCCCTTATAAGATATTCTTGTAAGACATAACTGATAACTGCATTTTATGTAAAATAACCTGCATTTCACTAAAAACATGCCAATTTAATGTTTTATGTTGTAGCATTCATAAAACTGAGAAACCACTGTCCACAAAAGAAACTACTTAACAGGTTCTAGGGAAAATTGTTTTCTTCCCTTTGAATTTCCTTAACTAATATATTGGTTCAAGACATATAAATATTTTACTTATTCCCTGTCATTCTTTCTTCTTTTTAGAGTAATGCAAAGAAAACAGAGTTTGGGCAAACCAGATCAGAAAGATCTGAATGAAAACTTGGCGGCTACTCAAGGGCTGGCCCACATGATTGCTGAGTGCAAAAAGCTCTTCCAGGTACACCTCTAGGAGTCTTGGCCACAGGGGAGCTTGGCCGCTGGGGAGCTTAGCCCCTGGGAGGCTTGACTGCCTGTTGAGGATCATGTGGACTGGGACAAAAATCATGGGCTCAATACTGGTTCCCATCCAGGCAAAAGACCTTTCCCATGAGGGCTGGAGTGATAGCTCAGCAGTTAAGAGCACTGGCTGCTCTTGCCAAGGACCCAGGTTTGATTCCCAGCACCACATGGTGGCTAATAACCATCCAGTGCTGTCTTCTGTCCTCCATGGGCACTGCACATACCTACATGCAAACAACACACACATACACATAAAATAAAATTAAAATATTTTTATATACCTCGCCCAAGAATGCACACATATTTACATGTATTTATGTGTATATGTATATACTCATTAGTTAATAATATTTAATGAAATTGCCTACCTTTTACTAAAAAGCAAAAGCAGAAAAATTATCTGGAATTAAAATTCTGCCTGAGAAACCTGCTTTGATCAGCATCAGCCCCATTTTAGTTATTTTCCAACTTTGCAAAGAACACCTCACACAGAAATATGTTTTAGATGTTTGTGACTTAATCCTCCAATGTCCCAGTGATACCAAAATCTTCAGGGCCACCTCACCATCTGTTGGGAGCAGGATTGAACTTCCTGCACTGCACCAGGAGTCTGGGCCATCACCTCTGCCCTACCACTTCTACTGAGGCACACTGGTAGACATGTAACTTTCTGTTCCAGGTTCCTGAGGAAATGAGTCGGTGTCGCAATTCTTACACTGAACAAGAGCTGAAGCCCCTCACACTGGAGGCGTTAGGACACCTGAGTAACGATGAACCTGCCGACTACCGACACTTCCTCCAGCACTGTATAGATGGCCTTTATAAGGAGGTCAAAGAGAAGTTCAAAGGCTGGGTCAGCTACTCCAGTTCTGAACAGGCTGAGCTCTCTTATAAGAAGGTAAGTCTTCTCCCTGGTTGATTTCCCATGGTCGTGACTTTGAGTCATCAGAGATAAGATTCTTTTCCCAATCTTAATCTCTATAGGAATCTCTAGCCCAGACCTGTCCTTGAGACTGTCTACATTGTAGATTCCCCTGGTAAGAACTGAGATCAGTCACAGAAGGACTAACACCAACATGGGAGCTTTCAGACTGCTCCTGGTAGAATCCTTTGTTTCCACAGAATCATTCTAGACTTCCCTGGAATGCTTTACTAGTGTTACTGGGCTTTAAAGGAACATCTTAGATTTTTTTCCCATAATTTGAAGAGAATACATTTGCACTCCTATCTGTTCTGAGTTGCTCTACTTTGAGCCTCACATTTATCTCGGCATAGAAGGTCCATCAAGGGATTTCTTGGCTCTTGAAAATAAGCACAGTGGCTATATGACCATGAAGACTTCATGGTAAAAATATGAATGATCTTCCTTTATCATAGTTATCCTGATGCAGGCCCCAGAAAAACAAATGGCAGGATTTTGACCAGGGTTGATGCCAGCTGTTTTGTTTGCTATGTAACCTGCTCTTGAATATGTTCAGGGATAGTAGCCTATAGTTACCTTGAAAGATTTATTAGCCTGTGTATATAGGGGTCATGTCCTCAACTCAAAATTGAAGTATATATAGCTTAGCTTAGCACTGAAACAAAGGCATCTTCTTTTTAGGTGAGCGAAGGACCCCCTCTAAGGCTTTGGAGGTCCACCATTGAAGTCCCTGCTCCACCTGAGGACATCCTAAGGCGCCTCCTGAAGGAGCAGCACCTCTGGGATGTAGACCTGCTGGATTCAAAAGTGATCGAAATCCTGGACAGCCAGACTGAAATTTACCAGTATGTCCAAAACAGTATGGCGCCCCACCCTGCCCGGGACTATGTCGTGTTGAGGTGAGATCTTCCATAATGATAAGAGGCATGGACAACTAAATATTAGAACTGAGCCTGTATGTCACTCAAACTTGCAAGATGGTTGTTATTTGAAACCAAATAGGAAAAGTGCTGCATGATTTCAAGCATTTCAGAATAGATTTACCTTTAGACCAACAAGATGCTTCCCTGAGCCTAAGCAAAAAAAAGAAAAACGTATTAAACATATGCAAGTGAATATGCACCACAGTGTACATTTCTGTCCCCTTTCAGTGTAGAGATTCTGGTTAGAACAGCTAATTGAGTGAATAGGCCAGGAAACAGCATTTAGTCCCAAGTGAGATGGGATTAAGGCAGATTTCTTATAATTCCTAAATTCTCTGGTGATTGTGGAAGCAATAGTTCTAAAAGTCTTAAGGAGATGTCACATCATTCTTCTAGAACTTTTCACTACTTGTTTGGATGTCCGCATCCTTGAAAATTCATGAAATGTAAATGTTTTTGAGAGCACTTCCTGTGACTCTTTTCTAAGGAGGGTCTGGGGACTGAGCGTCTCCACCAGAAGATAGACAACTGTGCAGGTTGTCCATCCCAGAGTGCATGTGCAGCCCTGGAGAGGACCCTCTGAGTGAGGCACGGTTTTCAATCTGGCTTCTGGAAAATTCTATTTACCCTTTGCTTTTGTCTCCACAGGACCTGGAGGACTAATTTACCCAAGGGAGCCTGTGCCCTCTTACTCACTTCTGTGGATCATGACCGGGCACCTGTGGTGGGGGTGAGGGTTAATGTGCTCCTGTCTCGATATCTGATTGAACCCTGCGGGTCAGGAAAGTCTAAACTGACCTACATGTGCAGAGCTGATCTAAGGTACGTTCTGATCCTGACTTTTCGACATTGGGGGAAGGTCATGGAGAAGATTCGTATTTTCCATCTGATGCAAAGAATGGCCTAAATGAATCTATGGTTGTAGACTTTATGAAGAAAAGTGCTTATAAAGCAACGTCTTGATGATGCTGATCTCTTAGGTACCACTCCCAATCCAAGTCCCTTTGAAATGTACTACTGAAGCAGTGTGAACTTGTTAGTCATACCACAAATTTAAAGCCACAGGAAATGCTTTTTTATTGAGCCAGCAAGTAGACATTTCTCTTTTTATATATGATGGTATTTGAATGGCACAGGGTTTGTTTTATAATTCGTGTGTCTACACCTCTTGCCGTTGATGAGCATGTATTCATCAGAAAACGAATGGAATGCAGTGATAAGAACCCCAGAATGAGCTAGTGAATACTTTCTCTTGTTAAATAAATTCCCCTTTGGAAATTTTACATTTCCCTGGGTTTTCAGGTAGCCAAACGATGCATTCCTATATATCAAATCTCTGAGCAGGGCTTCTGAATATCCATATAAACATGTGTTCCAGGGGAATCTTTTGGTCCCAGATGTATAGACATGCCTCCGTTTACCTGAGAGCAAAAAAAGAAATCTTTACTCTTCACATGTTGTTCTCCAAGAAATGGAAGTGGGAACCTGGTCTTCAGCTCTGTAGTTAATCACTTTCCTGTATTCAGGAGGCTCTGAGCACAATCCTGAGTAGGATTCCAGACTGCCTTTGTCTTACCTCAGCGCTCTCTAACTTACATAATTCAGCAGCTTTCCCTTTCTGTGACAGGGGCCACATGCCAGAGTGGTACACAAAATCTTTTGGACATTTGTGTGCAGCTGAAGTGGTAAAGATCCGAGACTCCTTCTGTAACCAGAACACCGAAACCAAGGATACCAAATCTAGGTGATTCCTGAAGCGAAGCACCTGCATCCAGTGCCTTGGTGATTGCCTCCAGAGCCTTGCCAGTCCTCGAAAGAGTCCTCTTTGTCGGGGCCTGAAACAACAGTGGAAGTATTGACACTGACTAGAGCAATTTGAATCATTTTTAAAGCTGCTTCCCGTTTGTCTTGGGTCTGTGTTCTAGACCTTGACTGGAATATGAGACGTTGGAAAAAAAAAAAAAAAAAGAAGTACTTGTATTATTCGAATTGCTTCTGAGAAGCAAAACTCTTTAAATGCATTATGGGAGATAACGAAGAGACGTCATTCTCCTGTGATATCAGCATATATGTACCTGTGTCATTTATGTACAGTGCGTTGAGGGACTGATGTATCCACTGGAAGAGTTGGTACTTGTTGACAGGTTTTCTCACAGAGATGAACAAAGAATGGTTTGCACAGAGGAGTGTGAATGTGTGTTTGTTGCTGGCTGAATGGCACAGGTGTAGAGACGGGATGCAGTGTCTGGTACACTGAGATGTTCCAAGGATGCTGATGGACCAGGTCCAGTCTAACCTGGAATAGCTGACTACCCCAGGACCCACCCAGGAGGGGAACCCAGGTCCCTTCTCCATTTTCCCCCAGGTTATTCTAAGCATTTTTTTTCTTCTCAACAAACCTTTACTTTCTCTTAAAATTGTAGACTTACCCTGGCATTCATTTTAATGCAGTTTGTTTTAGACCTTATTGCAAACTGTGATGTAGTTTTAACCAGTAAGATTAGTTCAGGAATAAACATCTCCATCACTCCCCTTACTGGCTCCAAAGAAAGAAGATTTTTTTGGACTTTTTTCATTGTTGCTTGTTTAAGTGAGATGTAAAAACTGAATCCTAACACCCATAACCAGAGCATCAAAGCATTTTTTTCTCAGTACTGGGAATTGAACCCAGGGTCTTGCACGTACCAAGCAAGTACTCTACACTGAATTTAATCCCAGCTCTGTTTTTACTTTTCGTTTTGAGACAGTTTCACCAAGTTGCCCAGGCTGGCCTTGAGTTCATTGTGTAGCCCAGGCAGGCCTTGAACTTGGGATCCTTGTGCCTCAGTCTCACAAGTAGCTGGGAAAACAGGCTCAGCTCATCAAAACTGTTCACCTGTTATAATTCATAGCATCTTCATGTAGCATAAATTCTAAGATATACACGGGAACATGGTAAACTATGTCCCAAGGAGATTTAACCCAAACACGGAAGGCTCTTTGTTGGTGGTGATGGTGGTGGTGTTAACAGTATTCCTGGAAGCTATACGTGTTTATTTGAATTGGGTTTGTCTTCATGCACAAATAGGTTTTCTGGTTTTAGGACTTTTTATTGTTTTCCTTACATTTCTTTTTCTTTTCCCTTATAATGCCCTCGAACTGTATTTTAATACTAATGAAAAATGGTCATCGGAGTCAAAAACAAATGACGCAGGTTTTTGAACGGGTAGTCTTTATACAGGTTTTACTGTCGTGGTAAAGGCTGAGTCAAGAGACGGTATTAGTAAATTTATTTTATGTGGATCGAAGGGTGAATAATGTATGAATGCGAGCTGAGGAAGCATTTTTATTGTTATAACTTAGCTACCTTGTCAGTATTATTTCAAAGGTTCTTTGAAGAATTGGGGGGGGTTCAGAGTACAGTTTTAAATTTGAGTATTTTCAATATCAGTGTTGCTTGTGAAGATGTGTGTATTCAATCTTGATGGCCTCCAGATTTGTAAGATTGTATACTGTATATACCAGTCCATTGAGAAACATGTACACATGTCTGCCCACTGTGCTTTCAGACATAGATAAAGCATGATAAAGATTATTATTTAAAATATACTTGTATTTATACCTCAGATATTCTTTTGGGTTTTGTACCTCAAGTCTCCCCCTGCCCCCGCATTGTAAATACACTTCCCATGAATACAGTCTAAGTGAAAAAAATGAATAAATAAATGAAAAAGTTTGTAATTTGCCCTATATCTGTACAGAGTATATTCAGTTAAATGCACTATTAAATGTTTAAAGTAAGGGAAAAAGTCTGGCCTGCTTTCCTCTGCATTACATTCTCCTCCACTCTTAGAAACACAGAGTGCAAAACCAATGCCAACCAAAGCCCAAAGATATATATCATCCGAAACACCGGAGTGTGACTCATTCCGAGGCTGAGCTGCATCTGAGCCATTCACCCCAAACCAGGAAACCCTGGTGAAGGCTCAGGATGCCTGGAGGTTCTCTGCACACAAAGGTCCATTAGGAACGATGATGGAAACATCGGGAGAACAGGCAACAGCAACCGAAAGATGCTCAGAAGAGAGGTCAAGGTCACTGGCTAATTCCAAAAAGGGTCTCTTTTCCATGTTTAGTTTCTCCATTGAAAGGATTCCTTATGTCTGACGGGAGAAGAATTCAGAGGATGTGAACATTTCTGAGAACTCTGTTTATATCACGTACAGTGATGTTCCACAACTTATGTGTGACCGGTGGTCTAGACTGTAAACTCTGAGGGCAGGCGCATCTCCTGCACATCTTTGTAACCTCTACAGCAGCTTTCAGTGCTTTGTACTTGTACGCACCTAATAAATTTGTTATTTGCTAACGTATATTGATTGAATTTGCTGCTTCTTTTCCCAAGAGATTGTCTAGGTTAGCATCTGCCTTAAACCCCCACTGCACTTAGACACTACCCACTTTGATTTTGGTGAGGGTTTTATTTTCCTTTACAGCCTTTTGGTTTGTTGAGACAAGGCCTACCTAGATTGCCTAGGCTAGCTCCAAACTCTCTAGGTAGCCCAGGCAGGCATTGAACTCATGACCCTCCTGCCTCAGCCTCTTGACTGCTGAGATTACAGGCTTGTACAACTGTGCCCAGCTACTAGTAGCCCACTTTGAAACTGCAGAGATTGGAAATCATTAAACCTATGAGATCTTAAACTGAAAAACACACATTCTCCACATGCTAATTCTAAGTTAGAGTTCATTGTCCTGGATTTTTTTTCTTTGTGGCACTGAAGTCGGGGTCTGACATTAGGCAGGTGCTCTACCACTAAGATACACTCTCAGCCCCTTTGACAGGATTGTTACCAATCTTGTGTCTCACAGGCAATGTGATGTCCACCTAGAAGAGGTTTATTTTGTCAATATTTACTTGAGGGTGGACAGCAGGGAACAAATTATTATAGTTTCTTAAAAGACACATATTCCCAAACCGCTTTCTGTTGTTTCCATCTCCAGACTTGGTTTCTTCACAGCTGTGTGAAGTAAGTGTCTCCGGCCAAGACAGGTCATACTGCAGAATTCCAAATCCCTAAGTCACTGATAGGTTGCACACCTAAGGCCACCAGTGTGGAGTAGTTCATATGAACCCATGATGGACTTAGATTGTTTTTGTCATAACAGGCATTTGTACCAAAAATGAACCATGAGTCTTATGTGCTCAGCACTGAAGACTGTTCAGCAAGGCTAGCATCACTCTGCCCTTCTTGACAGACTTAGAAACCTGCCTTACAGATTTCTTTCTTTATTTTTTATTCTTATTTTAGGATAGGGTTATATATCCCAGGCTGACTTCAAACTTCCAATCCTCCCTCCTCCACCTTCCAAGTGCTAGGCTCACAAGCATATACCACCAGTTTTATGTAGTGCTGAAGGTCAAACCCAGGTTCTTGTGCATGCTAGGCAAGCACTCTACTCACTGTTACATCCCCAGCCCCTTGCAGGCATTAAAGTAGAAGTGATGCCATTAGGGAAAGTGGAACAGGTCCTTATGCACTCAGGAGGAGGAGCTGAGGTGGTCACCGAGCAAAGCTCAAGTCCATTGCTAAGTCCTAAGCAGCCTACCTACCAGTTTTAGGTGGGATATGTTAGGACCATCTAAAAAAATTAAATGATTTTTAAAACACTTTTTAATTAAAGCTTTTATATGCACATGTGCGTGTGCTGAGCATATACATGGGCACCATGTATGTGCAGGTGCCTCTGGAACCTAGAAAAGGGAATTGGAATGGAATGGGAGTTATAGAAAGTTGTAAGCCGCCTGATGTAGGTGCTGGGAACTGCAAGAGCAACAAGTGTTCTTAACCTCTGATCCATCTCTCCAGCCCTTTTAATACTGGGGCGGGGGGGGGGCTATGCAGATAAACGAAAATTTTCAAAAATATAATTTAAAAAATTAAGGAAGTGAATGATCCAGAATAAGTGTCTTCCACTAAAGCTGGAGCATTTACTGGGACAGTGGGATTTTATAGCTATGACATTTACCTTTGTCCACCTTTCAAACACTTTCTTAAGCCTCATATATATCTTATGAGGCATGGGAATTACCCCATCCCTTGCCAGGGTATGTATGAGGAAGGGAGTTAGTGACATATTAAAGTCCCCAGATCTGGGTGCCTTCAAGGTGATTCCCATTCAGGCCCACTCTCCAGAATACCTGCTGTTGGCTGATTTTTCTCTAACAATGTTGATCTTTCCTTAACTCTCAAAAAGATCCAATCCACCATCATTCTGCATCACAAGCAAGAAGAGCCAAGAAAATGAAGGTCTATACTAAAATTGTCACAATAGAGTCCCAAAGAAATTGCTCTTTGTCACCCCAAAAAGGAGTAAAATAGGTCAAGGGGGATAGGAGGCAAAAGCTGACAGCTGGTGAGATACCTTGTATTTCTACCACCCCAGGAAAGCAGACAAATGATTCCAAGCATACAGTCTCTATTGTCCTCCTTGTGTAGCACACAGAAGGGCATGACTCCCGGTTTGTAAGCACAGAATAATTAGATGTGTTCTGACTGCAGCTCAACATTTGCAATTTTTCCTGGCATGGGGGAGCATCTCTTGTCTTTTTAATGTCCTCTTAACAATTCTAGTCTTCTGAATTCTTCTTCCAATACCCTGCTACGCCCTTGCCATCACACAAGAGCTCTAGGAAGTGTTACCGAGATACCTGTAAAGGTGCCTTAGAAAGCAAGGGCTACTTTCAGGCAAAGGGCCTTTCCTAAGCATGAGCTGGCGTTGAGCCCAGTGCTTCACCTGGGTGATTATAACCAGAAATCCTCAAGAGTGAGATCACCGCGTGCATGTCCTCTCGGAGTTCCATCAGGATGAAATTTGCCTAAGGAATTTCTATTTCATTTGCTTTAGGAATGCAAATTATGAAAGACTTTCAAAGAGCCCTCAATGAGCAGCTCAGGTAGGTCTGCTGAGTGCACGGCTGCAGAAAGTTCCTACTCATTCTTTGGGGGATGATTGGTCTTTTGCAGCCTGGGAGTTTGCAAAATCATGTTAGCAGCTGCAGCTTAATTACCTTTGCTGTGTGTATACAGGTCCCAGGAGAGCAGCCAGTCTGCCTGTCTGGGCCCAAGGCTGTCTTGACACCTACAACACACACTTCTCAGCAGAGATTTCTCTAGCAACTGGCTTTGAAAGTGGGGAGGGTAGCATTTCAGAGCTAGAAATGTGGCTGTTCATAGGGGCCTGTCATTTCCTTCTCTCTTCTTCAGATGCAAAAGTTCTTGGGAAGTCTGGACTCTTCTTTTGACTAAAAAAGGGTTTTATAAATCACAACAGAATGACTTATTTGCATAAAAATACTCTGATTCCCATAGAGATTGGTTCAAAAACACTTATGAAGCAGTTATACCCCCAAGCTGGAGGTGGAATCCAGGGCCTCAGGCATGCTAGGCTACTGTACAGGCCCTGGTTGAACCTAGTGTACAGCACTAGTTGAGCTAGATGAACCTCCAACTCTTGCTGAGTACTAGTGGAATGCCATCAGAAGACAGAATAGGGCATTAGATCCCCTAGAACTGGAGTTATGGACAGTTGTTAGCCATCATGTGGGTGCTGGGAACTGAACCCCAGTCCTCTGTAAGAGCAGCCAGTGTTTTTAACCACTGAGTCATCCCTCTAGCCCCCGAAATACAGAAGTTTTTAATCTAAATCTGAATCAATCTGTTGTTGAGGGGGTTGGGAGGGGGTGGCAGTCAGATTAGGTGTCTAAATTAAGCACAATAACACGGCAGGTAGTAGGATATATGCTTTACATCAAGTTAATATCTCAAATATCAGAGCTGTCAGAAGAGAATTTACAGCCTTATTTTACGGATTAAAATTTTTGAAGCTTTATAAGGGAATATTTTAAAAACCTATGTGTTACTAAATTTGAAAATCTAAGAGGAATGGATGGATATCTAAAATCATGGGAACCACCAAAGTTAAACCAAGAAGATATCAAAAGATTAAACAGACCCATAACATATAAGGAAATAGAAACAGTAATACAAAGCTTCCCAACTAAAAAACACCAGGCCCAGATGGATTTACAGCAGAATTCTACCAGACATTTAAGGAAGGCCTCCAACCAACACTACTTAAATTATTCAAAATGATAGAAACAGAGGGAAAACGCCCAAAATCCTTCTATGAAGCCAGCATCACTCTAATACCCAAACCAGGTAAAGATACAACCAAAAAAGAAAAATAATATCCTCAGGGTATACACTTAATGAACATAGACGGAAAAATTGTCAGCAAAATACTTGGAAACTGCATACAGACACATATCAAAAAGATCATCCACCATGTTAAAGTTGGCTTTTTTCCAGAGATGCAGGGATAGTTCAACACACAAAAGTAAATAAATGTCATAAATTATATAAATGGACCCAAAGACACTAACCACATGGTCATCTCAATAGATGCCAAGAAGGCCTTTGACAAAATTCAACATGCATTTATGTTCAAAGTCCTAGAAGGAATTGGACTGGAGGGGACATACCTCAATATAATTAAAGCTATATACAATAACATCATTGTAAATGGAGAAAAACTGGAAGCATTCCCATTAAAATAAGGAACCAGACAAGGATGTCCACTATCTCCACTCCTTTTCAATATAGTGCTTGAAACCCTGGTTAGAGCAATAAGGCAGGAGAAGGAAATTAAAGAAGTACTAAATGGAAAAGAAGAGATGAAACTATCACTTTTTGCAGGTGATAGGATACTACACCTAAGAGCCAAAGTTCCACCAGAAAACTCCTAGAACTGATCAACACTTTCAATATAGTGGCAGGTTATAAAATCAATCTACAAAAATCAGTAGCCTTTCTATATGCCAATAACAAGCAATTGGAAAAAGAATACAGGGAAATGCTCCCATGCACAATTGCTGCAAAAAAATAAAATATCTTGGAATAAATCTGACCAAAGACACAATGAAAACATTAAATTGTTAAAGAGATTGAGTAAGACACCAGAAGATGGAAGGACCTCCCATGCTCATTGACTGGAAGAATTAATATTGTGAAAATGACCATCCTGCCAAAAGCAATATATAGATTCAATGCAATCCCAATCAAAATCCCCATGACATACTTCACAGAATTAGAAAAAAAAAAAAAACAATCCTTAAATTCGTATGGAAGCACGAAAGACCCCAGATAGACAAAGTAACCCTGAGCACAAAGAGTAAAGCTGGGGGTATTACTATACCAGATCTCAAAGTATATTACAGAGCTATAGTCATAAAAACATCATGGTACTGGCACAAAAATAGACACATAGATCAATGAAATGTCATTGAAGATCCAAACCCAAGTACACACTG